TTTTCTGGACTCTCAAAATCAATGTAAGATGCAAGTTATCTTCAAATTTCCTCACATTAAACATTTTGCTTAACAGGTCCTGCATAATTTGTTTCTGTTCAGAGAGCATGTTCACTGGAGCTAAGAGACACATTTAAGACAGAATAGTTATTATTTAAAATCTGAAAAATATTTCAAACATTAAAGCGAAAACTAAAGATTCTGACTCAATTTAATGGAGGCACAATGCTGTCAATGTATTCTTTTTGGAAGAATAGTGCATTTTTAAGTTGATGATTCCAATTCCTTTAATGGATGGTTGATTAAAGAATAGTCCATTGGATATTGTTTGCCCTTAGGAGCACAATATTTTGATGATAAAAGAAGGTAGAATGTATTATCATAAAGTTATTTTCATTAAATTAATTTCTTTATTCTATTACCAATGTAAAACTAGTGGTTTTACATGCATACACACAAGTCTCGAAGCTGCTTTTAGCTTAAATATTAGTCACCTCAGAGAGGGTTTTTGGTCCAGTCTTATGTTTAATTTTATTTGATTTCATTTAATTCAATGTTTTAATTTAGTCTACATTTACACTGCAGTACACCTTTAACTGTCACATACCTTCATTAACATCCTCTTTCTCTCCCTCCCCCTGTGGATGAAAGGTCAAATGGCAGGTGACCACACCCAGCTGGAGTTCCACAACATTGAGACAGGCATTGTGACAGAGAAGCGCTTCATGTCCATGGTGCCCTCCAACTTCATTGGCCACCTCCAGAGCCTTTCCTTCAATGGAATGGCCTATATAGACCTTTGTAAAAATGGGGACATTGATTACTGTGAGCTCAATGCCATGATTGGCTTCAAGAACATCATTGCTGACCCGATCACCTTCAAGTCGCGGTCCAGTTATGTGACTCTCACCACTCTGCAGGCCTACTACTCCATGCACCTTTTCTTTCAGTTCAAAACCACCTCCCCAGATGGCCTCATCCTGTATAACAGTGGAGATGGAAATGACTTTATTGTGGTGGAGCTAGTCAAAGGGTAAGTGAACACAACCCGACTGATCCCAACTGTAGGAGCAAAAACATATCTCAAATCCTTTCTTTTATTTTTTTATGTTAAGTGTAGGATCTTCGGGCACATTTACACATTACAGTGGTACACTTATTTAGTCTCAAACAGATTGAGTAAATGGAACACGGCCAATTTGTACTAAAAGGGAAAGTATTCCCTTTCACGGCATGCAACCTTTCAGGGCTATACCTCCTGTCAAGGAAAGAATAAGAAGAAATAAACAGGGAGGGGAAGAAGTGAAGGGGGGAGTTGAGGGGATCTTGACAACTGAGACGAACAGACAAGACATGTTGGCGTAGGAAGGTACAGGCACTGATGGTGTAAATGGAAGTTTTGCATCTGCTGTCATGTTTGTACTCTCCTTTCTCTGAATATGTCAAGCGCTGATGCTTTGTTTGATCTAACTCAAACGCGTTTCAGTTTGTGGTTGTAGCTGTTAGTGGTACAAGTCTCTTCTTTATTCTTGAAAAGGCAGAAACACCTGATAGCACCTGTCTGGTCTAGCAAATATAAGAAACTAAAAAAATTCTACTCTACAGTCTTGCAATACAGTCATACATGTGTGAGTGATGTTTGTTTATATAGGAATCCCTCATTTGAAATTAATTATGTTTTAATAATGCAAAACACATGAGAGTTTCAAAAGAGAATATACTGCTACTTCTTTCAGTAACTTCTAGTTTTCTCCTATCACCCCTGTGCCAGGATATTTGATAAAGGAGCTGCCAGCTATTAGTGTTCGTTTTAATCTTCATGGAAGAAGAGCTAATGCCCAACATAAAAGAGAACCAAATACACAAGTGAATTTCTTACTACTTTAAAGGGGCTGTGTTTAAATGGGAGCCATAGAATAATTTTCTTCTTAGTAACGCCTGAAGTTTTGCCATTCAATGCACAAAACATGCAAAAACCCCTAATTAAAAGAGCATGCACATAACAAATTTCCGGTAAGCCAAAGAGTTTTAGCTTGATTGGTTCAGCACAGCTAGAACTCTTTGTTGTCGTTTGAACTCCTGATGACACACCACCAATAACAACAGACAGTTCTCGAGTTCAAGTTGTCAGATGCACAGTATACTTTTTTAAAACTCACTCATACTGTTGTGTCCGTATCTAACTATATGCTGTCTGTTAAGAGCATGGTGACAAATCAGACACTCTGAAAACTGTTGCTTAACTCTGTTATCTTAAAAAGAAACATCTGGGGTCTACTGGAAAGGTACATTTTGCTTTGGTCTCTCCATGACTGAGTGAAATGACTTGAAGTATCTAAGCGGCTATTCACTGTGACAAACCTATTATTTTGCATACTTTTACATTGTATAAGGCTTTCATATTGATAACTATCTCTTTCAGTTACCTGCACTATGTCTCTGACTTGGGGAATGGAGCCCACTTAATTAAAGGCAACTCAAATAAACCCTTGAGTGACAACCAGTGGCACAATGTCATAATCTCCAGGGACACCAACAATCTGCATACTGTCAAGATTGATACTAAGATTACTACACAGACAACTACAGGAGCCAAAAATCTGGACCTAAAGGGTTGGTATACTTGTACACAAAAATAATCCATATTCACTGCAAATAATAGATACAGTTTGTTTTAATAACCAGTTGCAAAAAAACATGTAAATAAAAGATGTAAAGAATTGTATGGACTTGAAAGATATTTTTGATTAACAACAGTTTAGCTTCTTTGTTTGTCCACCAGGGCAATACATTCAGAAGCTCATAACTTGAAACAAGTATGATCAGGGAAACTTCGCTTTGATATAAATGTTGATATATATCTCCACCAGGGGTCAGCATTGCTATATATCTCCTTTGCAGGCAACCTTTATATTGGTGGAGTGGCCAAAGAAATGTACAAAGAACTTCCTAAACTGGTGCATGCCAAGGAGGGATTCCAGGGTTGTTTGGCATCCGTGGATCTGAATGGGCGCCTCCCAGATCTGATGTCAGATGCTCTGGACTGTGTGGGACAGATAGAGAGAGGATGTGAAGGTGAGCAATAGCTGGGGAAAAAAAGGAAAAATCAATCTTTTATTTGCCATGTATTTCTATACATGTTTCTTCTCTGTGTAGTTAATTTGTATTTCTTTCAGCTCAGGTCAAATTTTATATCTAGGGATTTGAACAGTTCCATGCAATGCTGCTCAGTTCTCCCAGTATCATGATTTAGAAAGAATCCCACACCCATTGTAAAATAGTC